ATTAATATTGACAATTCATGTTTATGAGTACTAATTAATTAGCATCCATATGATTCTGTTTTTCCTACAAATTTTTTACAATTAGTTACGCATTGTTCTCTGTCGGTTTTGGTTCTGTGCAACAACGTTGTGCAGCTATCTATAATTTAGCTGCAAAAATGGGAAATTTTTATTATTTATCATTCGTCAGTGGTTTCGTCATTCGTCAAGTGTTTCGTCATTCGTCAACGTTTCGTCAGACGTCGCATTTGACGAAATGTTTCGTCATCAAGAAAATAGTTTCGTCAGGAATCATTAACCAGAACCGTATTTAACTGGAATCATATGTAACTAGATCCTTTATCTGAATTAAATCTTAACGCCTATTTTTGAGACTATAACATCCCTTATGCACAGAAAAAAACAAAAAAAAAAAAAACAAAGTTTTACTATTGAGCATAGGATTTTGCAGACCACTAAGTTCGTTTAACTAAGTGCAAAATAGTAGACTAAATGAATTCGTTTTTAAAAAAAAATACACACTTAGAGTAAATGTTACATGAAATAAGCAAATTCTAACCAAATCTACCGATAAATGTTTAGGGTGATTCTATTTATTGTATCATTGTATTAGTGTTATATCGATGTGTGCACAATACCTACGCACGCAGGTGTATTTTTTTTGAGACTTGATAAACATTCAATTTAGTAAAGTAGAATTGTACGGCAGTAACAGATTTGAATTACGTCCGTACGATTAACATAGACATAAACTTTAATTTTTACAAGTAACCTGATTAAGTACTATTGTTGTCCTTTTAACGTTAGTAGTTATCCATTTTCAGAATTAAAATACTGTGAAACATTGTACAAAAAATAGATACTTTCAAAAAAAAAAAAAAAAAATTAAATGTCGACTCTTTCCTTGACCGGTAGTAAACGAGGTGCATTGATAGTGTTTGAAGGCTGTGACCGCGCTGGAAAATCTACGCAAACAGAAAAACTTGTTAAATATTTAAATGAACATGGATTCACAGCGGTCAAAGGGAAATTTCCAGGTATAATAATAAATGTTGCTTTGAAATTGTTAACATATATAATTAACGTAATTAGCAAGAAGTATAGAACCATTAGGACCAATAATTGATGATTATTTAAAGAATGATGTAGAATTATGCGACAAAGCATTTCATTTTTTATTATCAGCAAACTTATGGGAACAAGAGTAATGTTATTTACTGAACAAAATTAGTAGCACTAAATTTCGTAAACATTACTGTTTATATAGCAGTTCATTTATATAGATCATATTTGAAAAATACTATCCTCAATGGTAAAACACTAGTTATGGATCGATACGCATATACCGGTGTTGCATATTTAACTGCCAAGGTAAGTTATAATATTTATTATCATTTCGAATTAAATTATTAAAATCATTAATATACTCATTAATCCAGGGTTTAGATTTAAATTGGTGTAAAGCTTCATATATTGGTTTACCATCACCAGATATTGTCTTTTTCATGGATGTGCCGTTGGAAGAGACTGAAAAAAGGGATGGATTTGGTAGTGAAAGGCTTGACAAAAGTGAGATTCAAGTAAAGGCAAGAAATGTATATTTATCATTGACAGGCCCAGAATGGAAGGTGAGGCACGTACTTCTAAGGCAGATACTATTTTTTTTAATGTTAATTCAAAAAAAAATTTTTAATTACTAGATATTAGATGGTCGACAATCAATTGATGAACTTCATGAAAAAATTGTAAACATGTCCCTAGAAGTAGTTCAAAAATGCGGTGTCATACCAATACAAGATTTGTGGAAAAATTCTTAATCAAAGCATTACAAATTTAGTGGTAAAAATTATCAGTTCATAATTCAATAGAATGAAATTTTTTTAAACCAATTATTATTCGTTCTTGAAGAAACTATATAATTGCAATAAAGAGAACTAGGAATGTTAGGCAGTCTACACTATGCTACGAAAAAAATGGTGATAAATTACATATTGCAATAAGGGCGCTGACATTTATTACGTAATATTTTTGGGGTGGGGGGGGGGGTTGCATGTGTACTATAGCAATATCTTACGTTACACATAAACATATAATATATGATTAATTGGCCAATCACAATTGGTCTTATGTGTGGGGGAGGGGGGGTAGCCCTATAGTAAATGGATATTACGTAATAAATGTCATTGCCCTAAGTGCTAATGGGATTAAAATTTTATTGATAAAAAGCTCATTATATACTTTATCTAATATTAAAGTTTTATTGTTTATTTCTATAGCGATTGTTACTTAAAATTGATGTTTCTTAACAAAACTAGTAATCCAAATTGAACCAAATTTTTATATTATATAACAAATGCCTCTTTGCAATATAAAAAAGTTTTTATAATTTGAATTATTGGTTATTGAGATAATTGATATAAGAATAATCTTTAATTTTCAAGTTTTAAATTTTTTCTTGACAACTAATGACTAAACGACATCGAATTTTTGCATATTAAAAAGATATTTATTATATAATACGCAAAAATTTGATCAAAAACGGACTGCTAATAATCAAGAAACTTGCTAATTGCCTTTTTTTAATACATCATTGTAATTCATAAACCTATGAATTATTTATATCAAGTTTTCAATAACCAGTAACTCAAATTAAACAAACTGTTTATTGTCCAGAGCGTAGCAACGGACCTTTAATGTTTATGTATAGTAATACAAAAATTACATTTTTGATGCATTTCGATCAAAATTAGTTACCTTTTTGATGCATCACTATAAATATTATGAAAATCATATCAAAAATGTAAATTGAAAATTTTTTGTCAGTCATGCCGCGTGTCTATATTTGTACTTTAAGTGTAACAAAACATGCATGCTTATGCGTTTGTGTTATATGATGATAGTCATGTGCTCCGGACACATAATGCAATGCATTAGCCTAGTATATTATAGAACAAGCCTCCTTCTACAATATATAGAAATTTGACTTAATTTGTATTACTAGTTGTTGAGAAAATTAGTATAATATTTAGCCAATCAATCAGTTAAATTGAAAATTTTATATAATTGTTTATATTAATTTCTTTTCAACTGGTAGTTCAAAATTATATCAAATTTCATATGTTATAAAGAAATATTGATAAAACTTTGGCCCAATTCAAATTGTTAATTAGTTTTAAGACTAGTTCATATTTGAAAAAAATTAATCTTCTCTTGGTCTTAAGACCAGTTCAGTTTAAATTGGCCTAGATTGTTTAAAATTCTTAAAAATATAAATTATCAATCAGATTATACTAGATTATACTAGATCAAAATAGACCATATATCTAAAATTTATCTGTAGATCTTCTATTTAAACTAAAGTTGCTGATAAAACTAAATTGTGCTGGTAAAACTGATAACTATCTAAAATATAATTGGTTATTGCACTTAAAAGCTAATAAGATTTTGTATTATCATCAAATTTTATCAAGACTGAGATTAAGTTGAATATAAAATGATTGAATATCTATAAAATTCATAATTAAGAATAATAATTAACTAACTATATTAGACTTTAAATTTTTTATATTTTAAAACATTCTAATATATATGCAGAGAACCATGATAAAGACGGTCAGACCCAATATACAGGGTAGACTATAGCACTCTTCATAGCCGTGAGAACTGGGCTTAAAACAGTGAGCAACTCTGCAGAAAACTATTTGTCCAAATCTCATCAACATCTTTAGACTCCTATGATTTGGATGCATACTACAACAAATATTTACTACATCATAAACTTTTTCTTTTTAAAGAACCTCAAACTCTACAATCTTTTTACTCTCATCTCAGTATTCATACACTTTATCTTAAAAAATTTGCTGCTATTTCACTATCTAAAGACAGGAAAGAAGCATATGTTTATCTACCACATGAGACCAAATTACTAATAAATTGCATTCTACTATTAACATTCAATATATATCTCTTAAATTATATATAAACACATCACCAATCTTATCACCTATAACTTCTGATGAAGAACCTAAATCTTTATCTACAAATTTACTTTTATTTTTGCAAAATCTTACTAACAATACTTTAAGCTCATCATCTATATCTTCAATATCTACGAACTATACTTCTAGTCATAATTCTTTTAATCAAAATTATAATCAAATTAGTTCTCACTTTGCATCTTCACAAACTTTTACACCTGCACAAAAGTTTCATGATCTTAATTTAACAATTGCTACATATAATATTAGAGGTTTCAATAATATAACCAAAAGAGAAGCATGACAAAATTACTGTTTTTACAATAATATTCACATTGCTTGTATTACTGAAACCAAAATTGCTAATAGCACAAATCTTCATTTTTGCAATAATAATTTATTTACCTACTTCTGGGCTAACTCAAACAGCTTAGCAGAAAGAACAGCTATAATGATTCATAACCACCTCAAATCTCATATTTACAACTGCCAAACACATCCTAACAGAGTAATTGTACTTGATCTTTTCTTTAAAGTGATATCAAACTCTGCATTATAAACATTTACCTCTTATCTACAGATATGCATAAACACAATGAAATACAAAATACAGTTATTGCATAGATTTAATAAATTTATCAACTCAATCTTCATCCAATTATACTTGGTAACTTTAACATACACGATAATGTTTTTAGTATATTATCTAAATATCATCTTATTAACTATCTACATCATACTAATATGTATGATCTTAGTGTATATACCAACAACACACATTATACATAGATAAACAATCCTAGCCGAAGCTATATCAACTATAATTAGACTAACTCATTTAATATTCAGTTCTTTCTCTTATATAAACTTGACAATAGTGACACCTTTACATCTAGTGACCACTCTATTTTTTTATTTTCCTAAACTTTTACTAATGTATATAGCAAATTTTCATGCTATCATACTGGTATTAGCTAAAGAATCTTCAACTACAAAAGCATATTATCTGAAAAGTGGACAGAATTTTCAGACCTTTTTACTGACAATCTTAACTTACATCATACTCCACTCAATACTGATACCAATGAAAGTATTGAAACTATTTAGTATAAGATTGAATACTCAATTATTAACACTGCAATACATATTATATATAACAAAATAACTAGAAAACATAGTTATAATCATCAATATACACCACATTGCACTTCACTTTAACTATCAGTTAAAGAACTTGATCATATAATTAAAATTATCAAAAACAAAAATAATAATATAGATGTAAACTTAATTAATTCTAAAATCTAAAATATCAACTCAAGATCTCACTGCAATCTTCAAGTATTTAAATCTTTACAATATTCTTTATGAATCCAACATGTACAAGAAATCTGAAACAACTTTATAATGCTCACCAGATTGAAAACTCTCTCTTACTTCAACAACAAATTAAACAAGCAACTGAAAAAAGATGCAAAACACTCTCTACAAAACTCAAACAAGCCATCAATAGTATTCTTAATTCTTACTAACCTTTTATTCACTTCTCTAATATTAAACTTTCGAATCAACTTATTACAGATCCAAATCTTATTAAACAAGCAAGCAAGAAATCTGTGCCAGGTTATGTCGATCATTTGGTTGGGGGCATATCTGTGTAACCGGTGCATGCAGGTTTGTGTAACAATTAATTTAAACAAGATCGATAGATACTACGTATATTATGTGTATGTACATATTTATAAAATATATATTTATCTATGTAACTATATATAATATGGAAAGGGTTTTGCGGCTAAATAAACTATGTTCTTAATTTGTATTAACTTTGCACAATTTGCATATAGTTCTAGCTTTCTCTGTATGTAATAGTAGTCAATTACACACTAGACAAGTAAAAAATATGTTAGTTCTGTAATGTTAAAACTGAAAATCAGTATAAAAAAAAACTTATCATTATTGCTTCAATAAAGTTTCTAATATATGTTTGTAATTGAAAGTAAAAAAATATCACTCATGCAAAAAGTATTGTTTTAAATATTCTATGAAGGGTTAAAAAGCGAATAATAAAAGTATAATTTAAAAAAAGTATATATGATGGATATTATGTAATGATAAGATTAAGAAAAAAAGTGTGTACGTATAAAAAAATAAATATAGTAAACTATAATTTAATTGATATGATGTACAAATGTAAGGCAGAGGTTAAATAAGCATGTTATGAAAATGATGTAATGCTTGATTTAAAATAAAAGAAAAAAAAAAAGTCATGTCTTTCATTTGCTAAAAGCAGAAAACAAACAAAGGAGTAATTGAACGTACATGTATGTACCTGCAGTACAAGACCCAGTTATTTACCAAGAGAGTTAGCAAATAGTAAATATGACATAAAAACATTGCTCTTTGGAGTATACTTTATACACATTTTTATTTTTAATTCTGTTGAACACATGAAATATGGAACTGCTGCTTGATGTAGAAAAAAGAGATAACATACCAGAGTCTTCAGAGCTATTAGTAAAATCATTACCAGATAATATTGCAGTTATTCTACCACAAAACTATAGTTATATAGTTTCTGAAATTCGACAACTTTCAAACTATATTACCCCAGAGGGATTTTTAATTGATCAATTTGAAGTAGAATTTTTTGTTAATGTTGATAACGTTGAAGCTGCATGTCAATGATTGTCTGAATATGAAGAAGCATCAAAGACCACGATGTGTAAAACTAAAGACTTTCAAGTCCAAGGGAAAAAATTATCCTTCGTGAATTACGTCATTGTATCCACAGCAATAAAGTTAGGGAGAAATAGAGAAATCTACAATTAAAAAGACCC